AGAGCATGAAGCCTTAGTTCAAGTTTTAAGTTCTCTGTGGCTTATTAAGTATGTGACCTTGGGTAAACCACCTGATCTCTGTAGGTTTTGTTTATGTATCTTTAACTGAATATATAGAACTAGATTATTTTATGTTCTTATCAGCTTAAAATCCCTTTTTTTTACTTTCTATTTTGTTTAACAAATATGATTCACCAGAGGAATTTTTTCCATATATATTTTTATTGTAAAAGTATTGTATAGAGGGGTTACAGTTGTATGAGTAGGGTAATGAGTACATTTCCTATTGAGCATTGTTACCCCTACCATCCCTTTACTCCCACCTCTCCAACTCCTCCCCCGCCCTGAAATTGTAAAGTTAGTTTTCAACATAGTGTCTTATATATCTCATTGTTAAAAATGGGCCAACCTGTATCCTTATTTAAGAATTTTGTTATATCCCTTCCCCTCCCCAAATTATAGAAATGTATATACAAGTTTCAGGGTACCAAAATCAAATACAGTGAATACAGGGGTTATACTGTGGGGGAAGAACATATAAAAGAAACAAAAGAATCACATGGTACATTTTAAGTATGTTAAAAACAATAGCAAGAAAGAAAAAAGTTGTGCCCCTTCTTGGGGTTCTTTTCACTTAACATCATCTTATATGGTCATATGTACATAGCTTTTGACCTTTTTTGCTTGTCCTAGACATGTACTAGTTATTGCAAATAAGTGAATCCATGGGACCTATGTTTCTTTGGGCCTGGCTTACTTCATTTAATATAATTTTTTCCAAATCTTTCCATTTCCTAACAAATGGGGCAATGTCATTCTTTCTAATGGAGGCATAGAATTCCATTGTGTATATATACTACATTTTCTTGATCCATTCATCTACTGAAGGGCATCTGGGTTGGTTCCATATCTTAGATATGGTAAATAATGCTGCAATAAACATGGTTGTGTTGATCGCTTTGGTATGGCCTTGTTTGTGATCATTTGGGTAAAGGCTCAAAAGTGGGATTGTTGGGTCATAGGGGAGCTCTATGTAGAGTCTTTTGAGGAACCTCCATACTGCTTTCCAAAGTGGATGAACAAATTTACATTCCCACCAACAATTCACTAGGGTTCCCTTTTGGCCACATTCACTCCAGCATCTGTTGTTATTAGAGTTCTTGATTATAGCCATTCTAACTGGGGTGAGGTTGAATCTCAATGTCTTGATTTGCATTTCTTTTATGGCTAGAGGAGATAAGCATTTCTTCTTGTGCCTATTGACCATTCTTATTTCCTCTTCAGAGTAATCTCTCTTTAAGTCTTTAGCCCACTTGTTAATCCAGCAGTTGTTTCTTTGAGGATTTGTTGTTGGGGTATTTAATTTTTTGGGTTGTAAGTATATTTTAGATATGAGACCATTGTCTGTTGTATGGTAGTAAATTTCTTCTTCCAGTCTGTGGGATTTCTATTCATCTTGCTAACATGTCCTTTGCCATGAAGCTCTGCAGTTTCATGCAATCCCATTTGTCCAACCTTTCTTTGATTTGTTGTTTCTGGGTCTCTATTAAGAAAATTTCAGCTTGTGATATGAAGCCCTAGAGTTTCTCTTATTCCTTAGTGTAATGTTTTCAGGGTGTCTGCTTTTCTTTCGAGGTCTTTGATCCATTTGGAGTTGCCAGCATTATACTTATTGGTGAAAAGATAAAGATAAAAATTTCCTCAAAATTCAGGAATGAGACAAGGATGTACACTCTCTCCACTCCTCTTCAACTTTGTATTATAATACCTACCTAGGGCAATAAGACAAGATGCAAACATAAAAGGGAACCAGATTGAGAAAGATGAAATAAAACTCTCCCTCTTTGCAGATGACCTGATCTTGTATTTAAAGAACCCCATGGAGGGGCTGGGAAGGTGGCTCAGTGGTATGGCGCTTGCCTTGCATGCCTGAGGCCCTGGGTTCGATTCCTCAGCACCACATGAGCAAAAAGAAAAAAGCCGGAAGTGGCGCTGTGGCTCAAGTGGTAGAGTGCTAGCCTTGAGCTGAAGAGCTGAGGGACAGAGCCCAAGCCCAGAGTTCAAGCCCCATGACCGACCTAAATAAATAAATAAAAGAGGTGAAGGACCTTTATGATGAAAACTTTAGAACCTGAAAAAGGAAATTAAAGTGGAACTAAGGAAGTGGAAAAAACCTCTCATAGTATATACAAATTCATTGTGATACTGTCAATATCCCAACATCATTCTTCAATGAAATAGAAAAAGCAATCCAAAAATTCATATTGAACAATAAAAGACCGGATAGCAAAAACAATTCTTAGCAGAAAAAACAGTGCTAGAGGAATATCAATTTCGAATTTCAAACTCTAGTACAAAGCCACAGTAATAAAAACAGCACAAGAACAGACCTGAAGAGCAATGGAATAGGATTGAAGACCCAGAAATGAACCCACAGACCTATAGCCACCTAATCTTTGACAAGGGAGCTAAAAAAAATAGAATGAAAGAAAGACAGCCTCTTCAGTAAATGGTGCTGGCAAAATTGGTTAAACACCTGTAGAAAACTAAAGCTAGATCTGTATATATCACCCTGTACCAGATGAATTTTTTTTTACTTTTCTGAGTGTTAAAATTTTTTTGTTGGGTCAATATATAAGACTTCTGGAATGTGACAACATTTTTCAATATTTTCAGTACAACCATATAGATTTTCTATTTTGTCTTTGTTCTCCTGGAGTGTGAGTTCAGGTGGTAGGCTGATGTCCTAATACTTCAACCATGCCTCCAGTCCTACCTTTTGCTGGCTAACTTGCAATGTCTAGTCGGCTTTACTGCCTGGTTCAGTCACAGACTATAATCTGTGGATCTCAGCTTCCTGAGTAGCAAGGATTACTGGTGTGAGGCACCTATACCAAGGAAAATGTGTTTTAAAACATTTTTCATTTATGTTGGCAGTACTGGTGTTTGAACCCACTCAAAGAAAAGCCTTGACCTCAATCCCTGACCTTTACTATTTTTATTGTCTCCTAATTGAAGTACTTTTTTTTGTTTTTTTGTCATGGGGCTTGAACTATGGACCTGGGCACTGTCCCTCAGCTCTTCAGCTCAAGGCAAGTGCTCTACCACTTGAGCCACAGCACCACTTCGGGTTTTCCGGTGATTTATATTGGAGATAAGAGTCTCATGTACCTTCCTGCCGGCGCTGGCTTTGAACCATGATTCTTAGATCTCAACCTCCTCAGTAGCTAGGATTACAAGCATGAGCCACAGGTGTCTGGCTCAAAGTACTTTTATTTGTTAAAAGATACAGTGATAGGACTTGCCTCTTTTGGAAATGTTCTACTTTTAGGGTATTAATACAAGCCATAAACTACAATTGTTTTTTGCAAAAACAATACTAGTAGATGACAACTTTTTTTTTTGTTAATTTTGGAATGGGCTTTTACATTTGGCTTATTTCGTCATATCATATTTATCACATTAGTTATTCAAGCAAATGCAGTAATGTAGAATGGTGTATGGATATTACTATTTCACCCATTGAAACTGTAGAGATTTACATAATTCCTTTATTTTGTTTATGTTATTAATTATATTTGTTTTTCTGTTTATGTGGTATCAAGGAATCAAACCCAGGGCATCATGCAGGATAGGCAAGCACCACTAAGCCACATTCTTAGCCACATTTTATTTTTATTTTCTGGTGGTACTAGGGTTTTAATTCAGTGTCTTGTGTTTGCTAGGCAGTTCCTCTACCACTTGAAGTATGCCTCAATCCCAGTTTTGCTATAGATTTAAATAGAATCTTAGGAATATTTTGCCAGTGTTGCGTATAACATTAGTAGAGATCAAAATTATATATGAACAGTATAGTCTAATTTCTAGGACTGGTTAGATGTCAAAATAAAACAAACATTGACGAAATATTTGCCATATACTTGCCATTATCTTATACAACTTTTCCCTTTAAAACATGTATTATTTGGCTTTTGAATCTTGATGTCTGATAGGTGGGTAAATCTTTCCTCAACAGCTTTATGTATAAGATATTGTTACAAAAATAAAAATACTATATCTTTTAGTAATTTTATATTTTGAAAATCTTAGTACTAGATCTGGAAAATTCTAGCCAAGCTATATCTGAAACATTTTTCTTTTGTTAATATGTTTTTTTTCCCATACTATTTGTTTTTATATGCCTTCTATTTATACTTAACATCTTTCCTACATTTGACATTTTTTGGGATTCTCCTTTCAGGCAAGTTTTTGAACACTTTTCTAGTCATTGCATACTTTTAATATAATGATCAATTTAACTGTGCAGTTTCTCAAATTGACTGTTAGTTATCTTAGATTTGAGCAGCATTTTCAACAAATGCGGTTCAGAAGTAATGTATTGAACACTTGGGAATTACTATTCTATTGATTCTCTTCTGATTTACAGCTCAAGCAAATTACACCCCTTTTATAATAGGGACCTCAAAATCAAAGCTTTGTATACTTTATTATACAATATACATTAGTATTAGTCTCAAAGCACCTTCTAGTTGCCTTAATAGGCTTGAGTTAGTTTTTTCCCATGATTACATTATTTCTAATTACATAATTTAATGCTTTATGTATTCATTTAAATCCATCCTGCTAAGAGGATGGGAACAGTATGAATCAGTGTATTAGTATATTATTATTTTTCCCTGTTTAATATTAGGGTACTCGTATACATTATCCGAGTTAGTTTGGAAAGTTATTTGTAAATATGAGGCCAAGTACACTCTTAGAACAGTTGGATATGACAGTCATATTTCTTGATGTTTTCAAAATGGTTCCTTATGCTCACATTTGGAACTCCAGGTTTCACATAGGGAGTATAATACCTTATATTGTTCAGCAAAGCATAACATACTTGATCATCCATCACATCTTCTGTTTGAATATATTATGAGTGCTTTACCTAAATACTTCCTTAAGTGTTTATTTAAACATATTTTTTTTTTACAAAATGTACTTTCTTATTGCAGGTGGCATGCATGCAGTTGATAAATGCCCTTGTCACTTCTCCATATGATCTTGATTTTCGAATACATTTAAGGAATGAATTCCTTCGTTCAGGCCTCAAGACAATATTACCAGTAAGTGCAATGTAAACATGTTATACTGATGAACTAATAATTTTCTCTTTGGATAGATGTACCTCTTGAAGCAGAGTATATACATGGTTCTTTATGCTATTTTCCTTTGTAAAACATTAGACATTTTAGGATTGTTTTCCTTCCTTCCTTCCTTCCTTCCTTCCTTCCTTCCTTCCTTCCTTCCTTCCTTCCTTCCTTCCTTCCTTCTTTCCTTCCTTCCTTCC